TTAAAATAAACCCAGGACGAGGCCCATTATTGTATGATCGAGTTGAAATAAACCCCAGGGGGGGGGGCATTATTATATGATCGAGTTGAAATAAACCTCAGGGAAGGTGTAACGCCCGACATTTATCAGGTATTGTACTGATTTTATTCAAGTTTAATTAGTAAGTGTTGGAATCTTTAGGGCAAAGCGTACGCTGGGCGTACAAGGTGTACGCGCGGCATACGCATACGAGGCGCGGATCGGGGGACTCCCATGCGTACGTTGGGCGTAGGGTGGCCAGATGCAAACCCTAAAATTTAGGGTTTGCACCTTATTTAAACAACTTATAACCTTCAAAGTCCTTATCCTCTCAGCCTCCCTTGCCCTCTTAGTGCCCAACTCGAACCCTAACCCTCTTGTTTGCATTTTGGAGCTTACTTTGAGCATTTTGGTGTTGTTTTGGTGAATTTGAAAAGAAAGAAGTTTGAAGAAGGAGCAAGTGCTTGAAGAGAGCTTGTAGATCTAGGGGATTAGCACCATTTCTGACTCATTTGAGGTATCAAGCTTCAAACTTGACTAATGCATGTTTAGATTTGGTTTTGGGGTGTTTTTATGTCACTTTTGGACTCCATTATTGAGGTTTCTTGGATCTTGGTAGTTCCAGACCATAAGAGCTATCCTTTTGAGCTATTGGAGGCATTTATAGTTATAAAAATCGGACCTTGATGGTTAAGCCACAACCATGCAAGTGTTTGATGGTCACAAAGTTTGCTTAAGGACTTAAATCATGTTTTAACCCTCATCTATGCATGCAAAGACATAAAGTTTGTAACTTTATGGATTAGGACGTTAAAGGACCTGGATCTATGTTTTGGACGTTAGGACTTAACGGATTAACTCACAAAAAGAGTCCTTAGGAAGTTGGCCAGTACGCTGGGCGTACTGGGTCAGCTTCCCGCTTCTGGTCAAGGCCAGCGTACGATGGGCTTATGTGCCAGGTATGCCGCGCGTACGCATACAGAGTGTCAAATATGGGCTTTTGGGCCCTAGAAGTTTGGGCCAAGATTGTTGGTCCTCATGGCCCACTGTGGAATAAGGCCTCTGGGCCTAGAACTAAGATTCATGGTATTAGGCCTTTTAGGCCACAATGGGCCATTAGAAATTATTTACTTTGGGCTAAGAGTATGTTGGGCTTAAGTTAAGGCCTATTTGAGGAGTTGGGCCCAATTTGGAAAATTGGGCCATTGGTGGGCCACTAGTGGGCTTGGAGAGACTATTTAGATTTGGGCCCTTCATGTTATGGTGTTGGGCCTTAGACATTGGCCAAATTAGATCAAGGGTAAAATGGTCATTTTACCATAAGAAGGATTATTAGTTTTTGACTAAGTGTTGTTGTGGTAATGATAGCTCGGGGAGTCTTCAGAGCAGCGGTTAGAGATTTCTTGTCGTGAGATTCTGCATTCAGCCTTGCGAGGTGAGATACCTTCCTGGTAGCAGTGGGTCTAAGGCACCAAGGCCAGCCCACTAGTAGGAGTTTGTAGTTAGATGATTGTCTTTGTGATTATCGTTTGGTATTCCACTATATGTTATGATTTATGTGCTAGTATGCTATGATATTATGTGATAGTGGTAGGGGTGGAATAGACCCCGTATCTGGTTGATAAACTGGAGGGTAGGTCGGGCACCCAGATATGCCTGACAGTCTATTTATGTATGATCCTGTATGCTATTAAGTGCTAGTGGTAGGGTGAAATAGTCCCCGTAACCGGTTGAAATAAACCGGAGAGTAGGTCGGGCACCTAGGTATGCCTAACAGGGGTAGGTCGGACACCCCGGTATGTCTGACATGGGTAGGTTGAGCACCCAGGTATGCTCAGCAGGGTAGTTTGGACACCCAGATATGCCTAACAGTATGTTTGTTGTATGGTGTGTGGTATGATGGGGGAACTCACTAAGCTTCGTGCTTACGGTTTTCAGTTTTTGTTTCAGGTACTTCTAGCTCGAAGGGGAAAGGGCCGGCTTGATCGTATCGCATCACACCATGGATTTTCCGCACTAGTGATTTTGGGATTATGGCTCTGATGATGATTTTATATGTAACATGGATTGCACAACTAAACTATTTGATGTTTTCATGGTTTTGGGAAAAATGAAAATGGTTTGTTTTATGATTGATAAACTTAAAAATGAAATTTTCGGGTTGTAAATTTTAAGGGTGTTACAGCAGGGCCCGATATTGTAGGATCGGGTTGAAATAAACCCCAGGATTGGGCCCATATTTGTTTATTGGGTTGGAATATATCCCAGGGCTAGGCCTAGTTGTATGTTTGGTATGTGGTATTTTAGGGGAACTCACTAAACTTTATGCTTACAGTTTACATTTATGATTTCAAGTACTTCCGGTACAAAAGGGAAGAGCCCGACGTAATGCCACAACATCCTCCCCTCATGATTTCCGCACTTTTTGGGATACAATTACTCTGATCTTTTGGATATTATACATTGTTATTGACTTGGATCTATTTGATGATTGAAACTATTGATTTATAAATGAAAATTTTTATCATAGTTTTTGGGATGTTACATAAGCTTTTTAAAATAGTTCGAACTAAAAGTAATTTGACAACATAATGAATTAAAGATTGGAAGCATCTTAGTGAAACATTAAAACAACATGAAAATAGTTATGATCATATGATTAATTTAAGAACATGGACCAAAACACAAATTAGGGTAAATAAAAATAAAACAATGGATAAAGAATTACAAGAAATAATACAAAAAAATATCGAACATTGGAAAGAAGTTATGGTTAGAATTACTTCTATTGTAAAATGTTTAGCAAAAAATAACTTGACTTTTCATGGTACAAATGAATTTTTTTATGAAAACTCAAAGGGTAATTTTTTAAGTGTACTTGAATCCATTGTTGAGCTTGATTTTGTAATGAAAGCACGTTTTCGAATGATTAAAGATAAAGAAACACATAATCATTCTCTTAGTCATAAAATTCAAAATGAAGTAATTGAAATGTTCGCATCCGAGGTAAAAAGTGCAATTATAAAAAAAATAAAAGAGGCAACATATTTTTCTATAATTCTTGATTGCACTCCGGTTGCAAGTCACCAAGAACAAATGACTTTGATTATAAGATGTGTAGATGTGAGAAGTGTTTCATTAAAAGTAGAAGAGTTTTTTTTAGAGTTTTTAATTGTGGAAGAGACATTAGGTGTAGGTCTTTTTAATGTTTTAAGATGCTCTAAAAGCTCTTGATTTGTATATTAATTACGTTCGTGGTCAAGGGTATGATAATAGGGAAAATATGAAAGGAAAACACCAAGGTGTTAAAAAACAATTGCTTGATATAAATAATAGAGCTTTTTATATACCTTGTGGATACCATAGTTTAAATTTAGTTTTGTGTGATATAGCAAAATCTTGCCACAAGGCAAAAACTTTTTTTGGTACATGTCAAACAATTTATAATGGTTTTTTTCTTTCTAATTATACTAAAAAAGATGGAGTGTTTTATTATCAGCTACTCGTTGGAAAAGTCATATCGAAAATGTTAAAGCAATAAAAACACAATTTTCCAAAATAAGAAAAGCTTTAAAAAATGATCTAAAATAAGTGATGATTCAAAAATTTGTACAAATGCGGAATCACCGATAAATAATGAATTTATTTGAAGTTTAGTTATATGGTATGAAATTTTGTATAAAATAAATTTGGTAAGTAAAAAATTACAATCCAAAAAAATGTTTTTTGATGCTGCAGTAAAAAATTTAGAGGGGTTGATTAAATATTGTGATTAATATAGGGAAAGTAGGCTTGACTTTGCTATTAGTGAAGCTAAAGAAATAACAAATTGTATTAAAGTTAAACCCGAATTTTCTCAAAAACGTATTTATAATAGAAAAAAACAATTTGATGAAATTTCAAATTACAAAAGAGAACATCTATCTTCTCAAGAAGCATTTAAAATGGATTATTTTATTATTTTTGTAGATATGACTCTTGTTCAATTGAAAAATAGATTTGAACAAATGCAATATTTTGAATTTGTATGCGATTTTTTGTTTTGATGGTTCCAAATTAGTTTCTTTAGTTGATGACGAATTAAAAGAATATTGTTTAAATCTTGAGTTCAATTTGACAAATGGTGAAGAATATGATATTGATGGAATTGGTTTATTTATTGAGTTACAAATTTTGCAGAAAATGTTGCCGAATGAAACATACAAAGGTGAAAGTCATTGGACATCTATTCAAATAAAGTATGCAAGAAGAATGAATATGTTCCCTAATGTGTTGGTTGTATATATGATATTGTTGACGATGCCGGTTACGGTTGCTTCCGTGGAAAGAAGTTTCTCAAAATTGAAGCTTTTGAAAATGTATCTCCGAAGTACGATGACTCAAGAAAGATTGAATTGATTAACAGTTTTAGGTATCGAATGTGATTTAAAAAAAATAATGATTATTGTAAAATAAGAGGTGTTTTCGCTTAAAAAAATACACGAACACATCGTTTTAAGTGATTTTTGTAGGTTTTATTTGTATTATTTGTTTGATTATAAAATTTATTGTATTTTTGATTTTATAAATTTTTTATATATACGTTTTCTCGATCATACATCATATATAAGGACATAAATTTTTTGTTTTACCGTGAGTAGTAAAAAACCATGGACCGACTATGATAATGGATAATTCAAAAGTTTTAAATAAAATAAGACGTGACTTTGCGACAATGTCAAACCTCAAACTTTTTTGAGTTATGGCGAACCACGTCGTTTGTAAAACGTGACTTAAGACGACAATTTTGTATATAATTAATAATTTTTTTATATATTTTATATTATTATTATTTTTATATACATATGATTTAACGAGACATTTTATTAATGATGTGACTGGGTAATATTCTACGATTGTTGTGCTTGAGTAAGAAGTTAATTTGGTGACGTGGAGATAGGGTGAAATATCCATCTACAATACCGGTGAGTAACACGGCACGTCACATATTCCAGGATTTTGGCTTGCTCTATTGCTTAATCCGCCACTCAGCCCTCAAACCCCACAAATTCAGTGCCCAAAAGATAAGATTTGATTGCTCCACTCGCTAATTTCAACCTCCCTTGAAATTCCCTTAATTCTATGGACTGGAAATTCGTTGTTTCTGTTCCTCCTCAATGATAGCTTCGTCGCCGGAACTCGCCACAAGTTGTCGTAAAATAATCGTTAGTTTCATCAGTTCAGCTGCATGAGTAGTCAAGTGATTCGACTGAGAAGGGAGTTTACGAGCTGCTTCAAGGTGGAAGCAGTTTTATTGAAGTCGAATCAATCATGGTTGCGGTTTTTGTTTCTCCAACGACGAGGGTATCTTCGACGAAGATGTTCTCGTCTTTATCTCGCCGTCAATGCGATGCTTATACTTATTCTTCTATTACATTACGTTCTTCTCCTCGACGATTGATCCCTCGTTTCACTAATTTAAGGTAATCTCATCTTCTATTATTGTATTTTACGATTTATCCGTTTGATTATGTTGAATTCGGAAGCGTTTTCTGTTCAACCAAGTTTAATTTCTTTGTTGGTGCTGAATATTATCGATCTAAGAATTTTGTGTTGGTAGGTTTAGGGAGTGTTTAAATTTGCATTTTCAATGTGATCAGTCACTTGAACAGTGAGATAATATAATCATAATCAGTTTTTGCCACATAATAGTAATCAGTTTAGATGGACAACCAAATATCATTTTTGTTTGGCTTTTATGTTTTCTGAGTAATTTTCTCAGTTTACATAATCTGTTCATCCATTTTTTTTTTGCAGGCTGAACAATTTCTGTACAAGATGCTCTATTATGACAAATACTGAACTCTTGAATAATGTGATCACAGAAGATGTTCATCATGATCCATCAATTGATGCATCAAGTTGTTCAGTTCCCATTGTTCATCTTAATTCTGAAACCCATGATACCGAATCAGCAAACTTACTTGTGGAAGGCACTTTTGTAGACATGATTTTAACCACATTGCCGGTAAATCAAAGAATAACATCTTACTTTCTTGATTTCTAATCTGTTTTTCATATAATTTTTAAAAATATTTGTGTCTATTTTTCTCTTTAGATTCTTTCAGAGGAGGAGCAGGAAGTCATTGCTGCAATGCCTGCTCATCCAGCAGGACTATATGGTATGTAACCTGAAAAATCCCACTCATAACAAGCACATACAAGAATTAGGTAGTGTATGGTATGATGGAATCAGAGAAGGAATGGAATTAAAAAGATGCTGTTTGTTTTGTCTGATGGAATGGAATGAACCATTCTTGAAAGAATGTGATTCCTTCTATTTTGTTAATTTCATTCCGGGTTTTTCATCCGATCATGCAAAATAGAACTCATTGTCATTTATGTAATTTTTAACGACACAAATCTTTCTTAAAAATTTCACATTTTTAATTAAATTCAAATTTTATTTTCTAAACCTAACTAGAATATGTTTTTTTAATGATAATCTTATTTGGGTTATAATGAGATTAATTACGTTTCAATCTTGATTTTTACAAATAAAAATTCATTTTTATGATTAAATAATTTATAGAGTAGAGTTAAACTATACATTGTACTTTCATTTTTTATTCTTATTATAGCATTTCATTTTGAAAAATCCACCCAATTATAGCAGTGTACTTTTTTTTTTATCAGAACATCATACTTTGAATCCAGTTATCCAATTATAGCAATGAAAATTGTTTTGTATTTCAATGACATTGCTATAATGGGGTAGATTTCTAAAGTATAATGCTGTAATAGGAAGAAATGAAAGTAGGATGCTATAATAAAACAAATCAATGAAAGTACATCGATATCTCTTACCTTTAACCTTATTCATATCATTCATCTGTTTCTAACCTAAAGATAAATGTGATCATCAGCATTATATGCTAGTTGCCTAGCTGGCAATTTGGTGGAACAGCTATGGAATTTTGCTTGGCCTGCTGCTATTGCATTGCTTCATCCAAGCCTTCTTCCAGTTGCTGTCATGGGTTTCTGCACTAAGGTTACATATGAGCTTAATTACTTCTATTTTTAGTTCCATGTAAATAAAAATTGTACTTTTTAAAAAAATATATATATCTTTTTGGACAGGTTGCTGTTATTGCTGGAGGCCCATTAGTTGGCAAACTTATGGATCTATTTCCCCGTGTACCTGCATATAATTTTTTGACTACAATCCAGGTTATTCCATAAGACTCTGTTTCTTTTTATTCTCATTAAGTGTTGTATGTGTAAAGTGCTGAATGGATAAATGATGTATTTTTAAGTGCTATATAAACAAAGACTGATCCTCTTTTTGACTGAATGAACAGTCTGAATATTGAAAAAATGACCATTTTACCTTTCTGTTTATTTGAGAACGGTTATAAATTAACATTGTAAATGAATACAGTAAAAAATTAATAAAAGTATATGTTTACAATAACATTGTACTTGAACATTAATAATTTTCAGTTTCTGATAATAACCAAAATCATCCAGAATGGAATATGCCCAAACTCAAAGGACTAGTTTTGTAATTGTATTTGAAGAGCTTACAACCAAATATAAATAATAGAAATTTATTTGTGTTATGTGATCATTTCATCGTTTTTTTTTTTTCATTTTGATATGAATGACATCAAATGGTCATTTAGAAAAGAGAGAGTTTGGTTGAAGGGTAGTATGATAATTCCAAAACATGGGACACGGACTCACGCATGCTCTCTCGTTTGTGCAAAAGACGAAAATGCCCTCGTCATCCCGATCATTGAAAATAGCCATACAAAGCTTGTACAATCATGTCCTGTCCTGTATAACAAACACATCCTAATTGTAATTGAACATATATAGTAGTATTTAACAATTAACATGAAGTTTTGAATGGAATTTCTAACACCTGTTTGTGTTGTATTAAAGGCATCTGCTCAATTGTTATCAGCTGGGATGATAATTCAAGCACATATGGCACATGCCTCCCTTGAAACATCTGTACTGATGCGCCCTTGGTTTATCATATTAGTATTAGCAGGGGCTGTTGAGAGGCTATCTGGACTGGCTCTTGGGGTTGCAGTGGAACGTGATTGGGTTGTTCTGGTATTGCTACGCTACATATCCTTTTTTTTTGTTGCAAAAGACGTAAATACCCTCCTCATCCTCATTATAAAAAAACCCCTAGAAAGCTTGTCTAGTCCTGTCCTATGAAACAAAACACAGACTAAGTTCTTTTTTTTGGTTGTCTTATATCCTTTTTTTATTTTTTTTTTTAATGTGGGCCCATTGAGACATTTTCTAATGTTATTTTTTATTGTTTATTCAGTTAGCAGGAACAAACCGACCAATTGCTCTTGCTCAAGCGAATGCTATTTTAAGTCGTATTGATCTCCTCTGTGAGGTAATTGACTAATTGTGGTTGTATAATCATAAAATCCTGCTTATATTTCTTTCTATTACAACATTGTACTTTCATTTATTTTCTTATTAATGTTTTGCACTTTGAAAATCTACCTGATTATAGCATTGTACATCCATCTTTTTTTTACATTATTATACTTTGAAAATTCGACCAAGTTATATTGTTATAGTTTGGTAGATTTTTCATAATACAATGTTGTAATAGGAAGAAATAAAAAGAATGATACTATAGTAAACAAATCAATGAGAGTGCATGCTATTTCTTGCATTTTACCCAATTTTTGTATGCATTAACATTGTGTAGATATATAGGTGATACTGAAAGTTTTTGAATATTGCTGTTTAGTTTTTATATGATTGATACAGTTATTGGAAATTAGTTTAGTTGATTGATATTATTTATACTGATGGATTTATTATTTATACGATTGCAGATTGCTGGAGCATCTCTTTTTGGCATTCTTTTATCTAAATACGAAACAATTACATGCTTGAAGCTTGCTGCTGCCTTGATGATGTGGTCATTACCTGTTGTGGTAAAGAACTATGATTTCTTTTTATAGTTACTTATTGCAAACTTCAAAGGAATAATGAAGTTAACCTACAAACTGTTATGTTAATGAAGTATGATTTTTCTGTTTTAGATTGGTCTCACATGGTTAACCAACATGCTTTCCTCTGGTGTTCTTGATCGTGCCAAGTGTCCACAAAACATCCTCCAGAACTTCCTCCAAAGAACACCTGCCACCCGTTCATAATTTAGGTCAATATATATTATTACTTAGGCCCCATTTTGTTAATGCATGACAAAACAAGTTGTACTCTTGTTTGGCATGCATTGGAACCGGAACCGATGATGTCATCAATCAGACAAAAATTGAAATTTTCTGTCCCACCCAAAAAGGTGGAACATGGAATCGCTCTCGATCTCTGTCTGTGCAAAAGACATAAATACCCTCATCCTCATCATTGAAAATAGCCCTACAAAGCTTGTCTACTCTCATCTTGTGTATTAAAGGCAGCCTAGGGCTGCATTTGTGGCACGGGACTAGACAAGTATTCTAGGGGGGCTTTTTTTTGATGATGAGGATGCGGAGGGCATTACATCTTGTTTTGTTTTGTATTGTCCTGTGTAACAAACGGGGACTAATACTTTATAATTTCAATATTTAAAAAAAAAAAAGTGTGTTTGTGTTGGTAATGTTGTTGTTGTTTGTGTTGATCAGTGGATATGAGTATGGGTGCGATTAAACATGGGTGGGATGAATATATGAAGCAGCCTGTTCTTCCTGCTAGCCTAGCCTATGTACTTCTTTGCTTTAATGTTGTTCTTGCCCCAGGTGGTCTAATGACAGCCTTTCTCACACAGCATGGTATATGCCTATGCTCATCTTCCCCTAACATTTTCTGCAACACATAGCAACCTACTTTGAAAAATCTACCCGACCCAATTACATTTATAGCAATATCATCCAAATATGAAAGCAAATGTTCACTACTATAATTAGATAAAATTTTCAAATTACAATGTGCCTTAAGGATAAATATTTTGGAAATACAATGCAGTCACTGCAAGAAACGAAAGTAGATCTTATAATAATACACAAATAAATGGAAGTATATTGCTATTTCTTTCATTTAGGAAGTCTATTACATTCAATCTTAAGATTGCAATAAGTTTGGATATATATACAATTTTTTGATGTATTGCAGGTTTAAGTCCATCTCTTATTGGAGGGTTTAGTTGCTTATGTGCTTTTATGGGTGTTGGAGCAACATTCATGTCTGCTCAAATGGTGAAGCAACTTGGCATTTTAAAGGTACCTTTTTTCTTGACTAAAGTGCCTTAATAAGAAAAAATAAAAATAAAAATAAAAGTAGAATGTTGTAATAGAAAGAAATGAAAGTACAATGCTATTTCTTGTTGTAGGCTGGGGCAGCTGGACTTATATTGCAAGCTTCACTTCTTACCATGGCTGTTGCTGTGTATTGGAGTGGAACACTTCCCAAGCAGACTGGCCTTCTATTCTTTCTTGGGTTTATTGTAAGTTACCTTTTTTTTTTCTTGAATAAATATTCTTCTTTTTTTCATGGTTTATGGGAATGAGTATCTTTGCTAGATTAGGAAAAAAATCTACATCTACCCAATATTCTTATTAGGAGATTGTGCTTTGAAAAATCCACCAACATTTTTCAAAGCACAAAGCTATAATAGGAAGAAATTAGAAGTAAAGTACGTTGCTATTTCTTGTATTAATTTTTTTTTTATTATGTATATATTTATTAAGGTGTTGTCAAGATTGGGACACATGTCGTACGATGTGGTTGGAGCACAGATTCTACAAACAGGAATCCCGCCTTCAAAAGCAAATCTTATTGGGGCAACGGAGGTTTCCATTGCAAGTTTAGCAGAATCCATAATTTTGGGTGTTGTTATAATCGCAAACGATGTTTCTCATTTTGGATTTTTAGCGATGCTTTCGCTTTTATCCGTGGTGGGGGCCGCATGCTTGTTTTGCCGATGGTTAACCAATCCTACAGATGTACAAAGAAGTCTTTTTGCTTTTTGATACCAAATTTTTTATTCCATTGTAATTATGTACACTTGGGGTCCTAATTTTAGTTGAAAATCTATGAATTAGTTGTAGTTGTATAGAGTAAAATGTTGGAATCTACTATTTGTATAAATAAGCAGGCCCTTTGAGACCATGTGTTTGACCGATGTTAACGGGACAAAATTGACAAAATTTGAGACGCTCTATAAAAGGTGGAACAATATGCAATAAAGACCATGCTAAAAGAAAATTAGGTTGTTAGTTTAATAGTATGCTCTTGTAATCATATTTAATACATTCATTATTTATACGTTGAAACCATAACATAGATAATAATATACTACTTGATCAACCCAAATTGACATTTACAGTCTCGACCAACAACAAAAGTTACCTATTTAAGCAAAAATAATTTGACATGATGCTCAACGTGTTCTATCATAATTTGTCACGTTTCTAAGGCTATACGGTGTCATGCGGTTTTCACCACCAATAGTCCATTGTGGACTGTTTTACCGGTGGTGAACACCGCGCCTCTCCCCTTTTTTCACTGGTGGTATGTTTTCACTGCTATATCTCTCATCCTTTGCCATTGAAACTCATTCTCTCTTCCCCCTCTTTACCGATACCAATCTTCAACACCACACCCTAATACCTAAAATCTTCATAGGCAAAACATTAAATCCTTTGTGGAATCTAGGTGACATCAGTAAACCCTTTACGACACCACACAACCTAAGAGAATTTTACCACTATCGAGGTAGCCTAATGATGATCACTTTGTAAAAAATACTCCAAAATGAAGTTGATTCAGGTTTGAATCATATTACTTTCTCAAATTTATTTGATTGATGTATTTGTTTAATAATATAAGTTTTAAATTTATTATAACAAAAAGATTTTATATAAATTTGTAAAAACCTTGTTAATTAAAGAGGTATTTATGAACATTTAATAAAGTTGAAGAAAAAATATAATTGAAATATTCTTTTTGATAAGATAAATTATTATTTTTTAAACTCAGAATAAACAATGACCTAATGTAATTCACTCGTTATCATGGACATCAACATCAAACTTATATATTATTTATTATGTTTTTTTTGGAGTGATAACGTGAGAATATGTTTTATATCATATTTTTTTAGTATAAAATTTGTGATGTCATTAATAGCCATAGATTTTTCTTTGTCATAGTCATAATAATAGTCAAATGGGAAGTGAAATACAAATTTGGTCCCTCAACTTACAGATGATAAGTTTAGTTGATAAACTACTATTTGTGTTTTCAACTATTTATACTTATACTTCAAAGAAATAAAGTTCGTTAAACTAACACCATTGCCCCAAAGACGAAAACGAGTGGTGGTATTATATGCACTATCATACAATAGCTACATGAGACATATAAACTAGATTATATAAAATTATACAATATATACGCTTCATACTTTTTATTGTATCTTTCATGAGGATATACATGTAAATAGATACACTTTTTAACTAGCATAAGAAGATAACCAACTAACTAGGTCTAAATCCTAAAAACAAGACAAACGTTGAGCATTCATTTATTAAAAAGTAGTTAAGGAGATAAAAAGTGTTCAACGTCTTATTTGCATTCATTAATCCTTCTAGATTGTTTATTTCTATTTTATTAATCGAAAATATCTTTGGCATTTCAAATGCTACTCCTAAATACCAAATGAAAGTTATAAGAATCCAGTGTCATGGAATGACCTATTAATTGTGTCTCTCCTTGCAAGTTTTGTAGTTAGTATATTAGCATGTTGTTTCAGCTTTCATCCTCAATTTACTAATTTCACCAACAAATGTTACAAACCCTAATTTCAAAACTACTTAAACCATGACACAATTGCATACACATCAAAAAGCTCTAATATTATAAACATCTCTTAAGTTTTTGGGATGTTGAGTTTACGCTGCGATGTCCGCCTCGACAGGAAACTATGTTATTGTAGCTGTTGCTAAAATGTTAATTTTCAGAGATACCATTAATAGAAGAAAATTTTATTTCTCAAAGTCAAAATAAAAGATATATTTATTGAATCATGTCCTATTAAATTCATTATATAAAAAATAACACTTAAAACATAAATAATATTTATGCCAAGAAAAAAAACACCGATTGTATATTTCTGAATCAATGAACGATGGAAATTTAATATAGAAATGAGTGATTTCAACTCTAGGAAAAGAAGGGGAAATTTACATTTTCAGCGTATAAAACAAACTCTGTTGAGTTTTCCCTCGCTGGTTCCCAACTACGTGAAGACTCAGTGAAGAAGAAGAATTCAAGAAATGGAGAAGAAGAAAGGCATGAAGAACATCTTCAAGAAGCTTCACATAGGAAGCAATCACGATCCTAATAGATCATCCAACGATCCAACGTCGTCATCGTCGTCGTCATCTTGCGCCACCGCCGACCACCGTACATCTTCAACTCTCACCGGACAAATCTCCGTCCAATCTCCAGCTGCTGCCGCAAGTCCTCCTCAAACGTCTCCGACCGTCAATGTAACATCGCGTCAACAAGATTATTATTCGTCAGAAGAAGAGTACCAGGTCCAGCTAGCCCTAGCTTTAAGCGTGTCGAATTCGGAGTCTAGAGGTGATACCGATAGTGATCAGATCCGTGCTGCGAAGTTGTTGAGTTTAGGGCAACATTCGAGTAATAATCATGTCCCTGATAGAGGTGATGCGGCAGCTGATAAGTTGTCTCGGCAGTACTGGGTAAGTTGAACCTCCTAAATTGATACGAATAACATGTAGTTGTGCAGCAAAGTTCAAGATTTTGATTTTCTACTCGATAAACTTGCTTCAATTTCATTCTAATCTCCTATGGAATAGGTTAAAGAATACGACACAGTGAATATTAGGGTATATTTGTGCATTGCTCTTGTTTCTATGTGCATCGGCATAGGAAGTAACAGGTTGTTAGCATGAGGAGATTACATAAGTGCATTTAGAGGATTCAGACTGGTTATTGGAACACAAACATTCCTGAAATCAAGGAATTTCCTTTAAATAGGCGTCTCAATCAAATTATTACCTTCTCTACTTTTGTTTAATATCATCATACTCCACCAATGGGTAGAAAAATGTAGTTATGGATGATTTGAATTAGAAAATAAGGTTATTGAGATGGGAAGGAGACTGCTTTGGTTTTAGTTACTTGGGGTGTTACATTGGATCATATAAGTTGACTTCACCTAGATTATCTTTATTGGGTTAATTATTAGCTTATTTTTCTTCCAATTATCAGTTGGGGTAGTATGTCTTATATCATGATTCATGAGTGTAAATTCACAAGATCAAATTACTGGTTGGATTCTATAAACATGGAAGATCGGTGTTATCTTTTGGCCCACTTTTGCAGGTTTAGCTATTTCTTTTGGCATGATAATGCAGTGGGATGAGCGAGTCTTTGTCAACATATGTAATAAAGATTCTAATATAATAATAAATACATACAGATTTGTCTAATAAACAGATGTAAAAATACTCCTTATAAATGATGTGATCAAGAATCACCCTTTGACATGGTATATAAAATTAAAAAAAAAAGTTAAATGCAAGGAATTACAACATCTGTTTATTTGTCTATTGTAGCATCCTACTTCCATTTTTTCTTGTTATATCATTATACTCAGAAAAATCTACCCTATTATAGCAATTTCATTCAAATACAAAACAATTCTCACTGCTACAATTGGGAAGATTTCTCAAAGCACAACGCGCTAATAAGAAAAAATAGAAGTACAATTTTATTATCGGTAGGTTTTTCAAATTTCATTGCGTTAATAAGAAAATATCAAAAACAAATGAAAGTGGAATGTTGTGATAAACATATAAATGAAATTACATTGCTGTTTCTTGCATTTAGCCCATGAGTTTACAATCCATTTTAATGTTATCTTACATGAGTTTAACTTTTTCTTTTTGGTTCAAATCAACCAGGATTATGGTCTCCTTGATTATGAGGAGAAAGTAGTGGATGGTTTCTATGATGTATATGGGCTTTCAACAGAAACAACATCCCAAGGGAAAATGCCCTCTTTGTCAGATCTTGAAACAGATCCTCAAACTTCAGGTTTTGAAGTAATCATAGTAAACAGAACCATTGATCCTGCCCTAGAAGAGCTGTTTCAGGTAGCCCACTGTATTGCATTAGACTGCCCTCCTGCTGAGGTCAGTCTTTTAGTGCAAAGGCTTGCTGAACTTGTGACAGAGCACATGGGTGGACCAGTGAGGGATGCTAATATTATTATGGCAAGATGGATGGAAAGAAGCACAGAATTGAGGACATCTTTACATACCAGTATATACCCTATTGGATCTTTAAGAGTTGGACTGTTACGTCATCGTGCTTTGCTTTTCAAGGTGAACTGTTGTTCTTGTTCTTTTATCCTTTTTCTTGAATCTAGACATTATTTGGTTTCGATTACATATAATATTGGCTATTTTACTAGGTGGAACTGTAGCCACTAAGGCTTATTTTCTTTTTTGTTTGGTTAAACCGTTAAATGTGATGTTTAAAAAAATATTTGAGAAAATGATGGCACAGCTAGGGAAATGGAAGGAAAAAGTAAAGGGTTCAATGCTCCCTAATTTTGTTTGTTTCCATTACAACATTGTACTTTGAATGATCTACCTGATTCTTGGGTCCAACAGACTTAGCTTTTCTTAATCTATGTAGTCATGTTGACTTTTATCTCATTTTTTTTTTACTCTTGTGAAGTGCAGGTACTGGCGGAAAGTGTTGGAATAACATGTAGGCTTGTCAGGGGTAGCCACTATACTGGTGTTGAGGATGATGCAGTCAACATTATCAAGTTGGATAATGAAAGGTAACATGTGGCCTTTTAGTTTTACATATCCTATTTCTCTTTGATTTAGATTGTCAGGATTATACTGTTTCTGTCTAAGTGCAAGAAACAGCAACATACTCTCATTTATTGATTTAGATGGCATCTTACTTATGTTTCGTTCTTTTACAACATTATACATCCAGTTGTTTATCTTATCAAGACATCGTCTTAAAAAAATCTAGCCAATTGTGACATTTCACTTTCAATCTTTTTCTTATTAGGACATTGTGCTTGTAAATTCTGCCAAATTATTGCAGTGGCATTTAATTCCTATGTACTACTTTTGCTATAATTGGGTAGATTTCTCGAAGTAGAACCTTGTAATATGAAATTTTAAAAGTAGAATGATATAATAAACAAATAGAAGAAAGTACGTTGCTATAATTGGGTAGAATTTTCATTGTACAATGTCTTAATAAGAAAAAAAAATTGAAGGTAAAATGTGTAATAGAAGAATGAAAGCAGGATGCTATAATAACCAAATGAATCTCTTAGACCAAGTTCATTATTTATCCTTTTTTTTATGTGAAGATATTTATTTGTTTTTCCTTGGGAAATTGTCAGAAAAGTCCCAATATTTTCAGGAAAGTTACACTTTAGTCCCAAGATTTTTTTTTTGAACATTAAAGTCCCGATTATTTTTAAAAACACGTTAGTATATCATTTCCTGTTAAAAGAAAAAAAAGGACTTTTTTGTAAACTTGAGCCAAAATGAAATAATCGGGACTTTTTTGTTCAAAAAAAAAATCTTGGGACTAAAGTGTAACTTTCCTGAAAATATTAGGACTTTTCTGACAATTTCCCTTTTTCCTTTGTCTTCAGTGAATTTCTGGTGGATCTAATGGCAGCCCCTGGAACACTTATACCCGCTGATATTTTCAGTGGAAAAGATTCCTCCTTGAAACCAAAAATCCCAAAATCAAGTCAACTTCCAGGTGTCCAGTCAACTAAAGATTTCTCACTTCCTTCAAGACCCATTTCAAACAATAATATCAATGGTGCCAGTAGTCAAAACATTGAAGTGCAAAACAACAGTAGTCAATTAGATCACATCCCTTCATCAGCAATCGGAAATTCTCTTTACAAAGGAGGCCGTGGGCCCAATGCAGTTAGTGGCGGTTCAAGGATGAATGTTAACATAGTCCCATATAATACCCAAAATACCCCCGGCCCCGAGGACAATAAAAACCTTTTCACAGAGCTCAATCCTTTCCAAATTAAAGGATCCGGAAAGGGTTCAATGCAACAGGCTGATAATAAAAACACAAAAATTAACCAAGTTGTTTCCGGAAGACCTCCGGTCCCACAAATGTGGAAAAACCGTCATGCTGTTAACGAGGTGGTCCCGGGACCCGGAAGGGTATATTCCGATGGTTTGAAGTCACGTGATAGTTATGGTGGGACTTTGAATCAAAATAGTGAAACGGGTTCTTCAAATAATGCTGCTGAGTCGGAAGCTGCATGGGCTGAGTGGAAAAACTATAGATTGTCTTTGGAGGTTGTGGGGAATAATAATAATAATAATAATAATAATAATAATAATAATAATAACAATGCTTTCTCAAGAAATAAGGAAAAATTGAATGTGGTGAGAGGGGAAGAAAATGTTAGAAAAGGTTCAGAGTATCGGGTCAATGTTGAAAACCGAAAGGTGGTGGGACCCGAAAGCTCCACGTCATCATCATCATCGGTTGTTGATCCTGTGATTGATGATGTTGGAGATTGTGAGATTCCATGGGAAGATTTGGTCATTGGTGAAAGAATTGGACTAGGTAATGGTTTAAAAAAGAATATTATTCCCCTTTTTAAGTTGTGTCGTGTCTTGTCTGGAAAAGACGTTAATGCCCTTCTCATCTTGCAGGCTCATATGGTGAGGTTTATCATGCTGATTGGAATGGCACTGTAAGATTTTTCTGTAGTCTTACTGAAATAAATTTAGGGTAGTTTATATTTAATTGTGTTTGATTTCCTAATTAGTTGATTTTTCATTCAACAGGAGGTGGCAGTGAAGAAGTTCCTTGATCAGGATTTTTCAGGTGCTGCTTTAGCAGAGTTCAAGAGGGAAGTAAGTAATAATGTTTCCTAAAAACTAAATTATGAAATGTGGTTATTTGTCTTTAAGTCACAAATGCTTCAAATCTTTTGTTTTTTTACTACATAGGGGTTCACAACTCATAATGTTTGTTAATTTTGGGGGAATAAGGAATTTAGTTGGATACTTTCCTATTCAGTTAAGGGGTTAAATGCAACAAAGAGCAAAGTACTTTCATTGATATGTTTAATTATAGCATCGTAGCTTCATGTCTTCCTATTACAACATTGAAGTTTGAAAAATCTACGATTATAGCAATGTGATCCAATAAAAAGCATTTTTCACTACTATAATTGATTAGATTTTTAATGATGCCCTAATAATAAGAGAAGAAACTGGAAATACAATGCTATAGTTGGGTGGAATTTTTCTACAGTATAATGTCCTATTAAGAAACAAATTTGGAAGCAAAATGCTATAATTGGGAAAAAATTCAAAGTAGAATGCTGTAATATGAAAGTGCATTTCTTTTTTTCATCTTTTTTGTATGCACACTGCATTTAAAGGGGAAATTGGTGGTTCTCTTTTCCTTGTTTGCCAACTAAACATGGGTTAAATAAAGGAAATATAGCATTATTTGTAAGAAAATTATTGAGCAAAAAGCTGTATTAATTAAGCATATTGTACTTTGATGAGGCAGGTGCGCATTATGCAGAGATTACGCCATCCAAATGTTGTGCTTTTTATGGGTGCTGTTACTCGACCTCCAAACCTTTCAATCATCACAGAATTTCTCCCCAGGTTTTGTTTTATTTTACTTTTTTTAAATGATGTATAAAAAAAAATACTTGTGAAAATATGTCACACTTTGGAAATGGAAGGAAACAATAAATGAGGGCAATGTGAAAGGTTAGGACTTAATGGGCCCTGACTTTCTCTATTAAGTTCTTTCTGCATTAATTAAAATATAAACACTTAAATATATAAAGCTTGTTGGACACCATTAAGTCAATAAAGTGAAAAGGAAACGCTTATTTAATAGAAAGCTATGCTATGGAAATATTATATATCCAATAGAAGATAGCATACATAATTTACCAGTTCAAAGGGTATTTTGGGAATTGTCTAGATACATTTGTGATATTTTAATCTGGAAGAATATTGTTAAGCTACCAGTTAGCTTTTGATATTCGTTTTGCTAGCTAATATGGTGCAAACTAAAGTAAAGTATTACAACTAACTTTTGGTGTTTCAGAGGAAGCTTATACAGGATAATTCATCGTCCACATTGCCAAATTGATGAAAAACGAAGAATCAAAATGGCTCTTGATGTGGTAAGGAAGTTTACATACAATCATATAAATATAAATATTTTATCAACTTATCTATGTTTGTGTCTGTGATGTATTTTTTGAAAGTTGAATGGTGTATTTTGTAGGCAAAGGGGATGAATTGCTTGCATACAAGCATCCCAACAATAGTTCACAGGGACTTGAAATCACCAAATTTGTTGGTTGATGAAGATTGGAATGTCAAGGTAAATTTACTCATATACCCCTACCCTTACCCCTCTTCTTTTTATTACCAGATCCCCTTCCCTTCCTACACCACTTATTTAATTCCAAAAAACAGAAAAATCTATTGATTTTTCAAAGTAGAATGTTGTAAATGAAAGTAGGATGCTATGCTATCATATGATAGACAAGTAGGTTGCTATTTGTTGCCATTGCTTTAATAAATGAGAGTTTAAACCCTGCAGGTATGTGACTTTGGGCTGTCCCGCTTGAAGCATAACACATTTTTATCATCCAAATCAACAGCAGGAACGGTGAGTTTTTATATTATTTCTTTAGAATGTTTTTTTTTTCTTGATGAACATAACTTATCATTGATTTGATGTCTTATCTTAGCCCGAGTGGATGGCACCTGAAGTCCTGCGTAATGAAAATTCAAACGAGAAGTAAGTTTTACGACTTTTTCAGCTAAATGCAATGCATTTATCTGTGTATTATTATAGCATCCTACTTTTATTTCTTTTCATTACAACAACACTCTACTTTCACTTTTTTTTTATTTTTTTTTTTATTAAGCCATTGTACTTTAAAAGTTTATACCCAATGATCATAGCATCCCTGCAACATTGAAAAAATCTTTAGGATCTGGATCAATGCTGTTCCTGTATTTTATAAATTATAATGATGATGATTATGGATGGGATGGGCAGGGCAGGGCAGAAAGGTAATTTGAGTTTGAGTTTGAGTTTGAGTTGTTGCATATAATTTGTAGGTGTGATGTGTATAGCTTTGGTGTTATACTGTGGGAGCTTGCAACCCTAAGATTGCCTTGGAGTGGGATGAACCCGATGCAGGTGGTGGGTGCTGTGGGCTTCCAAAACCGCCGCCTCGACATCCCCAAAGAGTTAGACCCCTTGGTTGGAAGAATCATCTGGGACTGCTGGCAAACGTAAGTACTTTTCAACTTCCATTCATTAGTGCAAAAACTTTTTCATCATTTTATTCATACTATACATCTTCTGAACCATTTTTAAAAGAAAAACACAAGTCACCTACTTTCATCATTTTATCGAGTTAAACTAGCATCATGATAATAGAGTCATACATTTTTTTTCTTCAAATAAGTAAGTTAGTTGTATTTTTGGATATAAAGATTTATAAATTATGAAATTGAACATGGCAGGGATCCAAACCTACGGCCTTCATTTGCACAACTTACAGTGGCTCTAAAGCCATTGCAGCGGTTGGCAGCCACTACACACATCGATGATGATCAACCAATCGATATTTAAATTAACCCTCTCTCTCTCTCTCTCTCTCTCTCTCTCTCATGTTTATGTAAAAACAGTGTTCACAAATTGAGTATATAATAGGAAAAAAAGAGAATCTGTTTTTGGGGTCATGATCTAATAATTTGTATACCCTATCAGTATGCGAGTGTGCATAGTTTTGGGTGTGTGTGTATGTAAATACGCTTTTGATATTACCATAACATGTGTTGCTATGTTTTCTTCCTGGTTTGTAACTTTTTATCCGTGATGAAAAACCCAAAACTCAATTATTATTATTATTATTATTTTTTTTTGGGTTCATATAGGAAATAACAATGTGATAATAGAGAAAAAAAAGGATGCTATAATTTGCAAATAAACAGATTGTTATTTCTTGCATTTTACCTGTTTTCGGTTAAATGCAAGAAATACTAATGTTGTAGTAACAAAAAAAAAAGTAGAATGCTATATTGATATTGTCAGCATTTAAGATTTTTAGGTTAAATGTAAGAAGTAGCAATGTTATTATAGAAAGCAAAAAAAGTAGGAAGGTATAGTAAGCATATTACTATTTCTTGTATTTTACCGGTTTCTGTTAAATGCAAGAATATAGCTATGTAATTTCATATGGTTTGTCACATTATAACATTGTATATTGAAAAATTATCAATTTTAATGATGCCATATAAATATAATTTTTTTTTTATTGTTATAGTCATGTAAATTCTTTTTAGTACATATCTTAATATGAAAAAAGGTACAGTTTTATAGACTTGGGGAAGTATATTCTTTTCCTCGTCCTCCTCTCTAAGTTCTGGAGTATCTTGAGTTTTTCCTTTCACATAAAAACTAAAATATAATTTTTATTTCTATTTTTTAGTCAGACAACTATTTTATGTTTGTACGATAATTGTAATAATCAGTTTGAAAACGCATATCTACATATCCTTTATATTATAAATCCCATAACTAAATAAGGCCTTACATTTATTGTAAATATGCACCAATAAAATGAAAGCAAATCGTAATCTTTACATTTTGTTTTTCCTTTCACCATTCACCATTTCTAATTAGATTTGCCTAGAATGGAACCCACCTTTAGAATGGACTTCAATGGCTTAATTTCATCATCCTCTTCAATCTCCATTGAAGGCCATTGCTCAATTTTCTTCCTCTTTCCCTTATTATTTCTTACATAATCCTCAATGAACTCCACTTCATGCTTAATACTCACCGATTTCCGTACCACTTTTGGTTTAGCCAACAATGAGCCAACATGTGTCCCCACACCATGCACTTTGGGTGGCACCAGTGGTCCATAACGGTCAAGCTCGTCTTCAAGAACCGTTATGGTTCGTGGGCTCGAGCCACCTAAAACAACTGTCTTTGTAGCATGGCCTTGAAACCAATCAACAAATGACCCAATTACATAATTACCTGTGACCCGTAGATAACAAAACGGGCATCTTGTGCTCGTGTTGAGATATTTGTAGAAATAGAAGTTTTTGCATATAAGACATCCCGAACCCATGGTGATGAAATGAGGATTTTTTAGGAGATTGATTTGTGGAATAGAATAACATAGTTTGAGGGGGGAATGAGGTGGTGGGGTTTGGTTATGATTTTAGTGAATTTTGAAGAGGTTTCTTTGAAGATGAGGTTGATGTTATTCTTGTCATGTGATTTGAAGGTTGCTTCCATTTTGATGACTCCATGGTGTTGGATATGTATTTTGCTTTTCCCGTTAGATGATTTGTAGAGAAAGTATTGAAGGAATAAGTAATGTGTGATCAGAAAAACGTTTTATGAACATAGATTGTTTATTTATTTGAACTGAATGCATTGTCTAATGAGAGTGACATTTTTTGTGGTAAAGTGATACTAAATAACAATAACTTTTATTAGTCATATTTACCATATATACTTTGCTTTTGCTTTGGGGACAAGTAAACCTTAGTCACATCTTTGGTTGTGAATCTTTGAAGCAAAAGAAAGAAGGGGTGTTAATTGGGTCGGAATAAGATGGGCACACAATTTTTTTGGACTAGGCTGGTTGAACGTTTTCTTTAGAATGCATTTTTGAAACTTGTATAATTATACAATTATTTAAGTATTTAGTCTGTAATTTTATGACAATATATATTTAACGATGCATTATTTGTGAGTTATATATAAATTGATGATCTAAGTTTTATGTTGTATCAAATTTTAGTAAAACTTTTATATGGTTCTCATAAATAGATAACTTTTAATTTAATAAATTCAATTAGAGCGGGACAAACAAGATAAGGGCATAAAGCCAAGATTATTCGTCAAACATAACTCAAACCATAGTCAGAAATCTTTTTTCATTAGATGTGCACAAAAATAAAACCATTTTATGATCCAAAAACTGGTTTCCAAACTAACCCAATTTGATTTAGGAACCAATTTGGTTGAAACCGGTCCCACGGTTTGAGGATTTTACACTTGAAACCGGTTTTCAAACCTATAAAAAAACAATTCTCATATAATAAAAACAATAATGTTTTCATCCATTGTTTCAATTTGTTTGTTTATACAAGGTTTTAGAGGTTTTCTAAGACCGGTTTTCACCCTTTGTACTATCATTGATGCCTGCAAAATACTTTTCTAAAAATTAAAAGTTGAAAATTATCATTCCAGACCACCTAAACGGTCTTGAATGCCTGCAAAATACCTTACTGACATGTTTCTCATCAATCATGAAAGTTTTATTAAGTTCCGAAATCAAGTTCCATAAAACACAAAAAAAAACCCGACAAAAAATGATTTTTTTTACAAATATGTTTCAAACAAATCCTAACCGGTTCTTATAGATTTGGATATTTTTGCTCAAAGATCAGTTTTAAGTTTTGTTGACCAAAACCAATCCACTTTGTGCATCTCTAGGTTGACCAAGCTTTGACCCATTAGCTCAACACCAAGAGAATATGAAGAAGTAAAGAACCGAAAAAAGCATTTGTAGGCTTTACATAGGTTTGTTGGTTGATGGCGTATACTTGACACTTGTTTTGTATTGATGAATCGCAAGTTCTTAATAACAAGATACCCCATGTGAGTGTGGGAGCTCAATGAAAATTAGATTTATAGGACGACATTTTACTAAAATATGGAAATTTTATGATGTTTGTATAACAAACAATACTCTAATATATCCACGATGTCCTATCCCTACCAACAGGTCTCACAACCAACATATGACATGCACATGAAATGGATGTCCAATTCTTTTCGTGCTAGAAAATGCAATAAAATAGTTTATGAAAAAAAGTTTATTCTTTCATGGACCCTAAATTGGCCCAAAGAACATGATATAAGATGTAAATCAGGTACACATAGACCATAGACTATAGAGTCTAGCAGATATACCACCCCATAAGAAAATGTGCTATTGCTATTCCTAAGGGCTCATTCAAAGGGTTCAATACGAGGGAATAGAATATTTACTAATACAATAAAATTCAACATATTGTTTATTAATTTTTACTGTTGATGGTTTTACCTAGTCTTTGGATGTTGAAGATAAACAAATTATAAGGAAAAGGTTGTACCTCATTCGTACAAAATTTGTTACACGATTTTGTCATTAAACAACAAATGAAATGACTTTTGTCACCTTAAAATCACAAATGACTTGAAGAAGAAGAAGTTGATCATTTATTTATCACCTGGTTTTACAGGAATTCGTCCACAAAGACGCCAATATGCACCAGGGTGAAATTGGGATTTTTCAAAAACCCAAATATCACGAACAAGGACCTAAATAAATAAATTAATTAACAACAATTTTAGTTATTTATCCATGCATAAATAACAAATTATACATACAAAGAGGCACCAATCTATTTATTACCTCCTTATCTCTATTTCCAGCAACCACATTTCCTTTGGAATCATAGGCCTCAAATTTCTGAATCAAGTGAAACAACAACGTTATTCAATAATTTTAAACATATCATATGTGAAGAAAATTAATTATATATATATATATATATATATATATATATATATATATATATCTGAAAACATATAAATACAAATTTAAGGTACAGTTGTGGTTACCTGTTTGGAGAGAAATTCAAGTGTGAGCTGTATAAATACTTTACTCAGATCATCACGATCCACTCCAATCTGAGGGAACAAACAAAAACATGCTTAATGAAAATAACAATTTATTTTTTTTATTATAAACAAAAAAACATAACTGTTCTTTCTTATTAGAACATTGAAAAAATAGTAGTATGATGCTATGATTAAAAAAAAAAAAAAAAAAAAAAGGAAAATGATACTTGCCATTCGAGCGCGTAAAGTTCGGATTTTTATGACTGGCTCTATCAGTTCCCAGTAAACATTACTCCATCTAGATTCTCTTTGCTTAATTTCACTCTTCAGTGCCTGTTTTACACAATGTAAAAAAAAAAGACATAGCACTCTAGTTTATCCTTTGATTAAATCATTGAAACAAAAACATAAATATAATTCAATAAAAGTCACTTACGGAATACATATGCTCGGTAACCATTTTCCGTAATGTTGTCTTGTCACCATTTGCCATTAAGATGTTTATCTGAAAAAACAAAAAAAAATAAAAAATAAAAAATGATATAGATGAAATGCATGATGATATAGGTCCCAAGTACACCCCAATACTGTACATGTATCAATTGATTTAGGGTTTAGGGTTTAGGGTTCAAATAGAGCACCTTTAATTTGATACAAAAAAGTATCAAATAAATGGAGGTCTGATCATCATATGTTGAAGAAATAGAGTTGGTCATGGAATTGGAATCAAGGAAGGAATGGAATGAAAAAAGCTGCTTGTTTTGCCTGATGGAATAGAATGAAAATTGCAATTAAACATATTTTATTTATGTAAATTTTAATGACATGGATCCTTTTTTTATTGCAAATTTCATAATTTTGAATAAACTACATATATAACTAGAAAAAACATTTATTATTATCAATTTATTTGGGTTTTATGAGATTTTATTATGTATACTTTTTTAACTATGTAAATAAAAAATCATTAATTATAATTAAATAATGTATAGAGAAGAGGTAAAATTATACATTATATTTAGAAAGTTATATCAAAATTCATTTCATCACTACAAGCCAACAAAATATGATCATTAATATAATGACTCATTCCATTACCTTGTCTATTTCATTCCATTCCATCCAACCAAACAGATCTCAAGAGGATTTAATATGATGACCAGAACTTGTTTCCTTATAATTTTTTTAAATATTACAAGGGTACAATTACAAACACGATAATCTTATAGTTAAAAACACATCCAAAGATATGTAATTTTAAAAGTGATTTATATAGTAAGAAGCATACCTCTTTATATAAGTTCACAGCTTCAGCATAGAATTGTTTCTTTGAGTAGCCAGATTTTCTCAATTTGGCAATAGCATATGCATTTTTTAGCTGCATGTATATACAAAACAAAGTATCAACTCAACAGTCAAAGGAAGGTAAAAATTGGAACTTCAAAATTAAAGATAAGTTAAATTACACTTTCAGCTTATATATAATTTTATTAGGAAAAACTGTAATTGTTATTGATAGACTTTTCTAAGATTCATGGATAATCAACTTGTGTAAAATTTATTATTACAAGCCATACAAAAACAAACGGTTATATGTTAAGTTTATAAAATTTCAAGAATGTCCTTTTTTGGTCATTTTACATGTCAAGTCATACTATAATCACAAAATCCTGGATCATAGACAGATGAGAATATATATATATATATATATATATATATATATATATATATATATATATATATATATATATTACTCGTATAGAGAAGCATTCAGAATGTAAAATTTCATGTAAAAGGTAGTAAAGTAGAAGATGTAATTGTAACCTCTAGAAAAATATCATCTTTTGTTCTTCTCCATCCAGTCCTCGTGAACCACCTGCAGATGAGATGTCTAATTAAGCTCTTTTAATCAACTCAGGTCTCTAATTAAGATCTTTTAGGACCCTATATCTTTTATGCATTCAAGCCAGTATATTTATATTTTTAGGTTCAGTCCCTAAATAAGATCTGTAGGATCCAAAACCCCATAGGTGTTTAATCAAGCATATAAGGTGTTTTATTTAGCTATTCAACTCGAAATCATGAAATGTTGTGAAACCAAACATTCTTAATAAAAGAAATTAGATAATTTTTCAAATCTAACCTTCGGCAAAAAGAAATAGGCTCACGAGGACCATATGGCTCATATATGATTCCAGGACTTAGCATGGATACCTTTAAAGCCCCCTGCAAATATAAAATATCATAAAGATGGTAAAATTCATAGGTTCTTCAAAGTAGAGAGCTATCTAGTCCTTAATATTAATGTGAAAAATCTAACAAAAGGATAACAAACTAAGGCCCTCTTAAATACGAGTGAAAAAAACATAAACTGTGACAAAAAGAAAAAAATATATATATATAAGAAATCATCCTCAAAGGCTCAAATATGAACATAAGTTTTTTTCTCATAATCATCCTCTAATTACAGGTATCAATATGGATTAAAGTGTAGCAGCAAAGAGAAGTACTTGTACATGTAGCTTGGGAAGAAAAGTTGACCAAGTCAAATGAAAGGAAATGGTTATACCATTTTTCGCGCCTGGGCAGGGGCTTTCACTTGTGTTGATAAATTCCGTGAACCATTCAAGAAGATTGATAATTCAGCAACCTATACAAAAAGCAATAGATGTGATCTATACAATGAATACTATCAGTTAAAAAACACAGTATTTTACAATACTCATGAATCATGATGATGTGAATACATCATGGTGCTTTAATATAAATGGTGTTACCTTTACAGTATGAAGTATCTTATTACCACCATGGATGAAAGAAGGTAGACAATGTTGGACCTTGAAGCAATAAGGGTTTCGCTTGTTAATGATCTCAGGAGCTGATTACATAGAATGGAGACTTTCTTAGTCAGTAATTTTGGACCTTGAAGCAATGAGGGTTTCTCTTGCTAGTGATATTGGTGATACGTTTTGTCAGATCAGGCTTAAAATAATACATAAACTCCGTTTTCCCTAAATTGATAAGAGCGTAATTCAGATAGCCCTAATTTTACAACTAGAATACCACTATAATCCATTGCACACTTGACATTGGAAAAATGCAGTTTCAGCTAGATGATTACCTTCTATTCCAGCATTCGAGTAGCTCCTCCAGTTTCCAAACCTGGAAGTTCAATCAAAACTGCATTATACAAGATGATCTTAACCTTCTTAAGTAGGTAGCACATCAAAATTGGACAGATAAATCAAAAGGAAAAGAAAAATAGTGAATTTAATATCATTTTGTTCATGTAATTATAGCAAGCAATGGATCAATCACGTCGAACGAATCCACCGTTGTTATCGTAGCACGCCAACAAAAATTAGAAGAGATAAAGAAGGGATCAAAGACGAACAGGTGCGATGTTTTTCGAATCTCCAATGCTTGATAAACATTCCGAGTGTTCCGGAGACTTCTGAATGCCATCATCGATCTCACGCACACTGCTTGCTCTAGAAAGGGGTTTAAGGTTTTCGTTGCCGAGAGGTTTATGAATTTAGAATTGGGAAATAACAGTTCATCCCCCAGATTTTTGTAAATTATAAAAAATACCCCTCATATATATTTTCTAATTGCAAAGAGCTCCTCCTGTTTTTGTTGTTGGACTAAGGGATAAGTTCAAAGTATGATAACTAATGGGTTGTGTGGCGAGTCTCTAGATGAAGTCGAGGACTTTGAGGATGATAGAGAGGAACAAAGTCGTTAGTTCGAATTAAATCTCTATTAATACATGAGATCTCTATTAATACATGAGAGTGTCCTAGGGAATTGTAGGCTAGTTGAAAATAACCGATATCTGATTACCCGACTCGATCCATTTTGAATTCAGGTAGATCGGGTCGGGTAACTCGCGTATCGGGTTCGAAAATTCGGGTAATCGGGTAACCTGATATTTAAATAGGTCATGTATTGGGTAGGTTTAAAAAAATTCGGGTATACTCGAATACCTGATTAAAAAAAAAAAACCCTAATGTTCTTAACCTATTTATCCATCTCTCAAAATTCATTCTGACCTCTCTTTAAATTGGATCATATACACAACTCGGATCCACTCTTATCATCTGTTTTAGTTACTAAATTGGAAACTCGACTGAATGTGAAACTTTTGCATGATTTTAGGATCCCAAACGATAACAAATGATTTCCATTTATATGAAATGTTATTTTTGGAGAAATTTTTAAAAGGTGTATGAAATGATTAATTAAACAATCACATGGTTTTAACTTGGCAAAGATTTATTAGCAGCAAACATGAAAAAAAAATCATATGCTTGCAACACAAGTCTTATTACAACAATCACAAAAATAATGTGCTGAAGGCTTAGTTCGAAGTAACAATGCCGATATATTTTTTTGATGTGGATGTTTAAATGTTAAAGCTTTAATAAATTAAAGTTTTCTATTTTCATTTATTTATATGTATATTTATTTTGGCAGATTTATCAATTTTCATATACGTTAGAGGTTTTTTATGCAATTCAAATCTCTATATTCCTTAGTTTTTTTATATACTTCAATTACACAAGATGGTACAATATAAAAACAAATTCTTCTGCACAAAACTTACATTTAATTTATGAGACCCAAATGTATAAAAAAAAAATATAAGTAATTTCCGGGTATACATGAATATACCCGGCCCGAATTAAAACCTAATCTACCCGAACTCGAATACCCAAAGTGCAATATAGGTCGGATATCGGTTATTATTATTTCTTTTAAAAACTCGAACTACTCGAAACCCGAAAATTATACCCGATCAACACCCCTAAGGAGTTGGTGATTAACGAATCTCTTTAATGCTATATTAGGGACCGCCAATATCATTGAGGAATGGAGATTCAATATTTGTAATTATAATATATATGCACAAATGTGATGCACAAAGCTACAACTATTAAGATATTAAGTTACTTATTCATACCATGAAATTTTGATATAGAGTTCTTGATGTCATGTTCCTTGCATTATGGTCCTTTCAAAAACCAACTACGTTTCATGTTAGGGAGGTCATTCGGTGATCCACTTACTTATACATCTTATGAAGACATATAAAGAAAGAAATATGGATCTTCATATGATGTCTATCGACTTGTAGAAGAGATGATAATATACCACATGAGCTGATGTGGAGGACCTTAGAAGCATGAAGGGTGCCAATGAGATATGTTATAGCTATTTGAGATAATTAATTATCCATGACTTGTATCTGGACCAATTGGAGACATAGAGTCGTAGGTTTCATTAAGGTATGAACCTTAGCCTGTATTGTTGGATTAGTGTCTAAGCCCGTAACTATATTTGGTAAATACTTGACCCGGTTGTGCATGATCCTTTTGGGTTGCCTTCACCAGAGCAACTTGACAGGGTGATTTATGAAGAAAGAGGTTATTATGGTTTATTAATATATTATATGAATAATATATTAAAGGAGAAATCATATAGTTTAATTAATATTAGACAAGAATTAATTAATAATTAATTTTGTGACTAAAAGACATTAATTAAATAATGGGGACTTAAACTGTCAAATGTGTGATAGTTGAGTATTGCGCTGAGAAGGCTTATGGACTAGGCTTGGACGAAATTAGGAATGTGTCTATCCTAATTTCGGCCATAGAGGCCCTATTCCAGAAGCTTCCTTGGACTGCTTAAGGCCTAAGTTGTCCATTAGGGTTTTGACTGAAACCCGAGCATCACAAGTATATATAGAACCCCTAGGGCATCATATTTCGACCACTTGAAACCCTAGAGAGTTCCATAGCCGAATTTGTGCCTCTCCCCTCTCTCCAATATCATCCTCTTGCTTGTGTGGTGTTTGTAAGCCATTAGAGGAGTGACACTTGTGACTCTAAGCTCCAAGACAAGAAGATTCAAGCCATTGTAGAAGATGTAATCATCTAGATCTGATTTCTTATGTTGATTTCGAAATATGTATGCTAGATCTAGGGTTTACAAGTCTTGAATGAATTGCATGTACAATAGAGAAACCTAGATCCAAGCTTTAGGGTTTGCATGAGCACATAGGATGTTCTTTTGGATAAAACCCATCAGTGGTATCAGGGCCTTGATTGATTTCTATTGTATTGATGCCTTGTATGTTTATCTTGTTGAAAATCGTTTTTCTGCCCTCTGCCCGACCTGACTCGGCGAGTCACTTGTTGCACTCGGCGAGTCGGCCCAACTCGGCGAGTCGGGGAGTCAGATAGAGGGATATTCAGGATTTCTTGTTGTTTTGCTGAAGGATAATTGCCTAAACTATTTTTAACTAATAAAATCCGATTTTTATTGTTATTATATGATTATCCTTACCAAAACAAAAGATAATTACCATTTAATTGAATAATAAATTCCTTATGTGATAAAATTTGATTATTTGATTTATTTGATGAATTATCTTGTGATTAAAATATAATAGATCAAATTTAGATAATCATTTAATTAAATGTTTAATTTATATTATTTGCTATTTGATCCTATGTGTTTTGAAAAGTTCAAAACTTGCCCTCAAGTTTTGAAATTTAATTTTTTAATTAAAAAGTTTAATTTGAATTATTTAAATTTCAAACCCTAAAATTTTACAAGTTTAAAATTCAACCTTATACTTTATTTATTATAAGATTAATATATATATATATATATATATATATATATATATATATATATATATATATATATATATATATATATATATATATATATATAACTTAAATGCTAGTCTTACCGTTAGTAAGCCTCATTCACGAAGCCGATCTATAAGGGGGTATAAGGTTATGGCCTATAAAATGGCCGTTTAATGGGTGTCCACTCTCACCCACCGCTTCCTTGATTGGTGGAGGGTCGTTAGCCGAACGGGTAGGATAGGGCAAACCTTTCCTCATTAAAAGTATAATGAATTTATAAAGTAACTAAATGTTTTTTTCAAAATTCCCAATCTTAGTTACTATAGGCAAAAGTGAATTGATGCAATTCCATGACATTACACTTTGCACCCTTGCTAAGACGTTAGTGGAGCGTGTGTGGCTAACCGTCACACTAATTGGGCTCTAAGCAAAGGTGGCAAAGGGTGACTCGATGTTTGTCATAGTTCGATGGAGCGTGTGTTGTTAACCGACACGTCGAATAGGTGACTGTAACATTGGGGGCACCATGCATATTTGCATGGTTATTCACACCCGCTTTGTGATCCTCGGCATCCCAGTCACAAACTTGAAGGGCATATCGAGATTTAAATATGCCATTGGAAAGTTCAATGAATCTCAAAAGATCTAGGAGTTTCAATACATTTAAAACTTATCTTTAATTTGTTTTTCATGGTGGAAATTAGTGAATCGTCATTCAATTACCTTCAAATTATTTGCTTGTTAGATTACGACATCCCTCTTCTAATTTGTAAATAATGTTGTTGGATCCTAGCCCTAATTTCTCATTTGGGTGTTTAATTGGGGATTCGTTTCTAATCAAAATTTGTTCTTTTTCTTTTCAGATGTCGAACATCAACAACAACGCTTCTGGCTCAACTTCCTCTGGCTCGTTCTCACTCATGAACTTGTGTGGGAGAGTGATCTTTGACGGGTCCAATTTCAATGATTGGATTCGCAACATTCGAATGGTCACTCGTTACGAGGACAAAGAGTATGTCCTTGATGAGAAGCTGAAGGAAATCAACATCAACACTGCCTCTGCTGAAGAGATTGCGGCCTTTGAGGCCCATGAGTGTGATGCCACGAAAGTCCATTGCATCATGCTAGCGACTATGACTGCAGAACTCCATAAGTCCTATGAGGACATGTACCCCTATGAGATGCATCAAGATCTGCTGGACTGGTACCACCAAAGCGCTAGGCAAGAAAGGTACGAGATCATCACTTCGATGATCACTACAAAAATGGGTAATGGAGAGTCCCTTACCGCTCATCTGCAAAAGATGCAGAGATATGTCGATAACCTGCTAAAGTTGAATGTGAACTTTGATGAAGAGCTGGCAATTGACATCATCCTTCATTCCTTGCCTCCCTGCTATAGCCAGTTCCGCATGACCTACCACATGAACAAGGAGGAGGTCCCCTTGAGAAAGCTTCAAGGATTGTTGAGGACAACTGAGAGCAACCTCAAAGATAAATCTGTTGCATCATCTCCAACTCCTACTGCTGCCCCAGTCTTGGCAAATGGGCAAGGGAAGGGTAAGAAGAGGAAGGCTCCCTCAAAGAGCCACCATAAGGGAAAGTCCCAAAATGACTCCTCTTCTAGTGGAACCAAGGCTAGTTCTGCTAAACCCAACTCCAACCCCAAGGAGGCAGAGTGCCACCACCGCCACGAAATAGGGCACTGGAAACGAAGCTGCCTGAAATATCTGCAAGATATCAAGGATGGAAAGATCAAGCCGTCCTACGCAGGTATTTACACTATTAAATCTAATGATTCATCACATGCTATTTCTTGAGTTCTTGATACAGGATGTGGTTTTCACATTTGTTCAGATTTGTAGG